AAGGGTATCAAGTGAGATCAATAGTGGATTTTGAGGATTTAGGGGTTGAGACTGAAGGGATGAGAGATCCATCATATGGATGGCTGAACCCTACAGGAAGGTTGGGCGAAATTTCAAAAGTTTATTTCTCTCTCATTTGGGAATCACATTCCCTATTTTAGAAAACTGCATTTTCAATGATCGTTTTTGAATCCAAAACCAGACTAGATCTGAAACCAAAAGAGGAAGAGAGGGACAGACCTGATACGGAGTAGTAGTAACCCCCAACGAAGGTGTTCACACCCAAGGAGAATACCAAGGACTGCTCCCACTGAAGATGACACAGCGTAGGGTGGAACAGAATTAGCAAGATGGTTCTTTATCAAGAACTAGGATCGTTCAGCAAGAATCGAACAGGGGCTGGTTAGCATGACTTCAAATTGTTTATTCAGCTAAGAAACAATATCAAGAACCTTTCTTGATCAATTCCTCAAGAGGAGATCGAACTGGGTAGGGATGGCAAGAGTAGGAGAGAGAATTTCGTAGGTTGCTATGTTGTCTAACTGAGGAATTCACCCCCTTTATTTATAGCCTTCTTAGGATCAGCCTCCTAATCTAATTGGGAGAGAGTTCCTTAATCTAAATATGATATTTGGATCTGGACTCTTCAATGGATAAGATTTATCGTATCCTTCAGCTAATTCTAATCAGATTATAAATCTTATTTTGCCTCCTTTTAATTAACTAACTTAAGCCTAGTTCGAATTGGGCTTTAGGCTCATTAAGCGTATGTGCTCACCTAACCTTTAACCTGCTGCCCAATTGGCTCTCTTTGTATGGTGTGGGACCCAAACATTTATCTACACATCAGACACATGGGTTCAGCCCAGCCTTTTTTACAAGGCTTGGCTGAATTCACTGTAGGAGACAATAAACCCCTAAGTCCATCACCATGGGCTCTTAATGGGCCCAACATTTACACTAAATGGTCATTGGGTGCAGCCACCTTATGAAAACCCAATGACTATGGGCAGATGCAAGATTAGCCCATCAGGTATTACCCTCAATGGTCTTACACTTAACCTCTCAGSCCATAATTATCAAACATTGCCCGACAAGAAATGACCTCTCCCTCGGCTGCAAAGAACAGTGCTGCACTCTCTACTCACATGGATCTTGAGAATTAAAACATTTTGCAAACATATATATATATATATATATATATATATATATATATATAAATATATTTTGCAAAACAAATTTCAATGATTGAAATCAACTACCGGCAGTTTAGGTTTCCATCAGAGAGAATGCATTCCCCGATCATTCACTTTGTCCGACAAAGGGGCTGATCCTGTCACTATGATCATCCACTCAGATGAATTCTTGGACTGTCCCAATATACCATAGTTTTGACCCCTTCTAAGGATTTCACTGATTGTCATATTAAAGACAGTCCAATTCGACACCTAGTGCAGTATCATAATCGAGTCTAGGGGTTAGGTGTAACATTTTAATTTTGCCCATCTATCTCCAAGTTGTAGGGCAATACTATAATTTTGGTACGGTTCAAGGTTTCAAGAAAACCCACACTGCATGTACCTCAGGTCTCACCCTGGCAGTTGAGACAAGCCACCCCAACCAACTTGGCGGTACATCAGTGTCAGCCTTGGCATGATAAATCTCCCCAGATTTATTCAACGACTATGAAGATTCTAAACTAACACGAGTCTCATAAGTGTCCAATTTAAGGGCATTACACAGAAACACACAACAATGACATGAATCAAGTATGTACTTTTATTCATTTACAATAAATGTCAAAAGATGCATCAATATGATTGGAGTTAAGGGCATAACTGTCCAAGAGAGACTTGGGTTCTTCATATTCTTTGGATTTCGATAGGATTGGAATGGTTTGATTGGTGTTCAAGGGTGAATTAGGGGTTCAGACAGAGGACCAAGCAAAAATCGGATGCTAACAATATGTATATATGTATTATTAGATGACATTTGTATACATTTCTTTTTCCCTTTATCTAGAAACTATGCTATAAAATCCAAGTAAAAAGGTTTAAATCATAAAATATATATGAAGAAGATTAAGAAGGTCATTTGACCTTAAAACTTATTTATTAGTGCCCATTTGGGAGGGCTTTCATATGGCTCTAGCATTGCATGAGCCAATAAGAAACCCATGAAGTTGTCAAGCCCTTGTCAAGCCCTATTTGGTAAAAACCCAAAAAGTTGAAAGTAGGGTTACGTGAGCCAAAAGATTAATCTTATGGCAAAGTTATCCTAGGTAGCTTAAGCAGCTCGATCAACACAACTTAGTGATTGCGGATGCCCTCCCAAATGGGTTCTCATTAGACTTGTTCACGGGTAAGGCTGGGCTTTTATTGTTATTAACAATTAGGGGTGGATTCAAGCTTAGTCGAGCCGAATAGTACGAGATTTGAGCTTGAGATTGGCTCGAGTAAAAAATTCATAAGCTCGAACTCGGCTTGTTTCATAATCAATACAGTGAATTGGGCTCGAGCAGCTTGTGAAAAGCTCGTCTCATTGCCACCCCTATTAACAACATTTGATCAAGCCCGAGCTTGGCCTGACCATTGGGCTTATAATTGGGGTTTGAGCCTGACCCTCATAAAAACACAAAGCCCATGCTCAAACTCAAAGCTTGACCTCAAATCTCAACGATTAACATGCAATCCTCCTGTTGTTCCAAGTAAGATCAAATTGATAAGAACAATAATTACTTCCTATTTTGGGTAAAACATACACACACAAAAAAAGAAAGAAAAAAGAAGGATTCAAAAAAGTCATAATATTTTTTGATGCAATGCAAACTGTGACAAAAATCCAAAGTAAAAATTACAAATGGCAATTGGATTGAAACAATGCTTTTAGATCATATATACACTTTACTAAGATCCTTTGAGAAGGTTTAGATAGAACATGTCCAGCGTGAATGAAACACTATAGCTCATCTTTATAAATATTAGCTACATATGTAATAGTTTGACGGTCTCCTTTTCATATAAATAAAATTGCGAGCTTTGCTGGCCTTCTATTGCCCCGCCAAAAAAAAGAAAGAAAATTACATTTTGAGTTGAGTAGTTGTTCTAGTTGAGAAGCTTAGATTAATTTTGTTCTTCAAAGAAAAATAAAAGTGGCCCGGTGGTGGTGTTTGTGAAGTGGGGCGGTGGTGATTTGTGATTTGTGATGAGAGAGAGAGAGAGGACATGGTGCAGTGGTGGGAGGTGGTGCCTTGTGGGCTGTGGCCAGTGGCCCCTATCATGGTGGTGAGTGGTGAGTACTAAGGTGCTAACACTAAACAGAACCGGATCAGATGAGTTAGGATTGCCAGCCGTCGTTGCAGAAAATTGTTTGCCGGAGAGAAAGATGGAGGATGGCACTACTAACGTCCCTTGCCGCTGGTCACCGTTGTGGTATGTGGGTGTGTGTGACTAAAAACAGAGAGAAGTACGAAGATTGAAGACTTCAACTTCAAAACTTAGAATAAAGTTTTGGGTTAAAGAGAAAAGGCTACAGGGGAAAAGTTGGGTCAAGGTTTTGAGTTTGAATAACCTACATGTTCCAACTTCCAACCCTCTACCAACATCTTCTCACACCACACATCTCACAATAAGGTTGGGACCCATTACAAAAGTGGGGCCTGCCATGTATGAGATGATTTTGGTTACGTGTTTTGTTCACATGTGATCCACATTCCAGGGTTTTGGGTTAACTTAATAATAAAAACATTTAATATATAAAATATAATATATATTTTTTATTATATAAAATAAAATTGGGTCAAACTTTTTTTGACAAATCCCAAGTCCAACTCGCAAAAAGCGAGCTTAGTGTTTTGGGCCCGAATTCAAGCTTGCAAACCTAAGAGCATGTTTTAGCCTGACCGAGAATGGGCTGGGTCGACCCGGCCCATGAAAAAGCCTAATTCTCACTGTCCATTTGCATGGACCGAAATGTAACAGCTTTGGGGTTCTAAGGTAGGCCCCACAAGGACAATCTATAAGTTATGTTATATGGAGTCTGGAGAGCCCAAATCAGCTTCGACCTCCTTGGTCTTGACTCTTGACTATTGAGCGCTTGAAAGCAGCTAAACAAACTTAACCGACTCTTGAGCTCAGCCCTCCCAATTGCCAAAGGGCCTTAGTTCATCACGAGTTGTATCGGGTGTAGCCAGATTTGGTTTGGGCTTTGATATTGGGCCTGGGTTCATCGGTTTTTGGGCCTGGGTTTATCTTGAACACGACCCAACACGGCAAAGTTGCATTTACTTCTACACATAAATCATATTAATTCTATTCTTATGATCCAACGTTAGACGATGGATTTTGAGACGTAAGACTTCTACGTGGGACCCTGATGCAAAGAACCTCTCACTCGAAATGACACTTCCCCTCTATCAATCAATAATTAATTACTGAGAAGAAAAGAATGATTCAAAATTCTCGAAGCCAAAGGCCTTGCGATGCGAAAGTAGTGGCAAGGAGATCCATCGCTGTTTGTTTCTTGTTTGACAGCTTCTGGATCGTCTTGTGCACTGCAACAAATCCCATTGCAAGATAACAAACAACAATATCACTTGTCTCAATTCTCAAATCTCATTTCTTATATTATCAGGCAAGTTTTTACATGTTCGATCATTTAAATATTCACTGTTGTTTAATAACAGAACTATCTTAATATATTTTTGAATTGATTTTTCTTCGAAAACCCTAACTGGTAGGCAACGTTGCACTGTTTTGGTTTTCTACGAGTTAATTATAAGGATGTTTACTTCAATTTCTCTTCGTATACCGGATTTGGTGGGGCGTCGTTTTAGTATCTCTGTTGCGTGATGTTCAATTTAATTTATTAATCCATTTGTAAAACTATGCATTTCTTCGAGTGAAAGTGTGACCAGCATTGTTTTCACTTGTTTCATTATAATTTCATAGCGTTGGGACAACGCCATTCGTTGATCTATATGCTTCAAATGCTGTTTTCAGTTGGGCCTTTCAGGCTGAGATGTAATTTCGTCGGCTTTGTTCTTGGTTATTGGTTGCCATGTCGATTCTGTTTTGTGATGAGGACGAGGGAATAGAAGATTGTTGGGTTCTGAAGAAATTTGAGATTGGTAGTGCAATCGTTTGTTAAGGTGGTAAGGAATACAGGCACCCTTGTTTTTACATGGCTGACGCAGCTGCAATAGTTGATACCATTGGATCCAGGTTTAGTTCGCTGGAACTCATTGGGAAGGGATCCTTTGGTGATGTATATAAAGGGTATGTACTACATTTCTGATTATTAGTAGATTTATGCTTAATTTGCTGTGACACTTGATGACATATTTCTGAAGGGTGGATATCCATTATTTCTCTGTGCCTGTATGTTTTGCTACCTTATCAATTTGATGGAATCAAGTCTGCTACAGTTTTTCTTGATTTAGATTTACAATGTGTGGAAGTGAGAGTTGACTATGGTGATTAAGGACTGAAATTAATATTGGCGATGAAAGTCTTAATTTATGTCACTTTACTGTTGTTGTATGCAAGTTCAATTTGATTATGTCACAAGCCTACTTATTATTTAGTTTATTCACTGGGAATTCTTGGTCGTGGGGTCTCACTCAAATCTGGGCACTAACTCATTGGAGGGGATCTGGGGATGGGATTAGTTTCTCATGTCTGCTAAGCCACTGTTTTTGTGGGTTCAAAGTCCATTATGGTCTTGAACTTTTAAATATATGTTGCATTGAGCCTATTATATATTTCTTTAACAATAGAACCACTTGTTGGCTGAAAATGGAGAAGGAATAACTTGGAATTTAAGGAACGAGTTCAGAAGGTTCAAATGACTATCAAAAGAAATGATAATTCAAGTCAATTGGGTTAGAAGATCGGCAAACCAATTGGCAGATGGTCTAGCTAAGCAAGGGATTCAGAGACAGTCTATGTATTTGGCTCATTTGTATTATTCTGGGATAAATTAGTCCCTTTGGGTCTGTTGTATCTTTTCACAAATTCTTGTTGTACCTCTTTTGCTTAATTTAAATGAAATATTTTCTGTGTTGCTGATCCAAAAAAAAAAAAAAAAAATTGCACTTCAGATCCTTTAGAATGTGACTGGATAGTTGAAACTGGCATAATGAAAGGCTTTTGTTATCTATTCTGGAAAAAGTAACATGTCTGCGCAATTTGGCTTAATCAATGATCCAGATTTTTCCCATCTTGAAATTAAAGATTAATAACCCTAAATGGATGCTAAATGAGGGAGCATATCTATTGTTTTTGTTAGAAGATACCCCGAGTGGAAAGTTGGGTTTTCTTGCTGAGTTCCTTCATAGTGTTTTTTGACTTAAAGAAAGATTAATTGTTGAAAACTTGAAATCAATTGAAGAGAAGATTGATGATTGGTAGCTACCTTGTCATACACTGTTGGCCTAGCCTGGATAAAGGAGGGTAATGCTAGCTTGACAGCCAACATAAAAACCTTAGTTAATCCAATATGAATATTGAATAAGTATCCTGAATTGTTTTGTGCAATGCTAAGGTGTTCTCTGGATGACATTGTGCTGCACCAGCACCTTGGTGCAGTGTTAAATGGGATTTTTTTTGACAGAAAGAATGGTTATTGATAGAGTACACAGTAGGAATAGATTTGTGTAACCAACTCCAAGAGTTTAATAATGAAACCTTATGAGTAGGGAAGATAAATATAAAGAGTTAAAATGTTATCAAGAAAGAGGATTGGAGTAAAATTACCATGATAAAAACATAAATTTCAAAACAACCATATAGGAAAGTCATCTCACTGTGTATAACATCCTCTTAACTACTAATTGATAAAAAAGGATCCTCTATAGCATTACAGTTATACGTTGTGGGCATGCTGAAATGTACAGGCACTCATTGTATAGGACATTTTCTGTCTTTTTTTTCCCATGGAAATAAAATTACACTTTGCCTTTACTCAAAATATAAACAAATAAACAACATCCTCTAAACTCTTAACTTCACAAGATCAGTTGCCTCCTATTAGTTGATCTTGGAATTTGAGAAGAAGAAATTGCTAGGAATTGATAAGTGAGCCGGAAATGGACATCTGCAGGTTTAAGAAATCCTAAATCAGAAGGTCTAGCAGGGGTTCTATGCATCTTGTAACTTAAATGTAGTTTGACTAGACTGACATCCATTCTGATAGTCTCTTCCCTAAATAGACCCTATTGCCAATTCTCTCTCAAAGTCATCTTTTAGTTGCATAATTGTTAAGGCGTCTAGGTGATTCTAGGCAGCAGTGTGGTCTGTTGCCTAGGCGACAAGAACTTAGTAAAATAAAAAAACTAAATTTTCCCTAGTAACTGACTTTACCTTACAAGTTCAACTAGAACTAATTCAAGAATTACAACCTAGCATGGCACAAGTTCCACCAACGTCAACAATGGAAGAAGTGCTAGAGTTTGTTGAAGAACCAAGGGTAGCAGAACAGATAGAGATTGTGATTCTTAAGCTAGAGATTGAAGGAAAAGTTCCAAATATTGTAGTTGAAATTTTGAATAAGTGAGGGGAAGATTCATCACAATGGCAGGCTAATGAATTAAGTGTTCAAGAAGCTAATGTTATTGATGATTTAACAAAGATGGTTATGGAAGGCTGTGTTTCAGAAATACATTTCTTTCAAGATCCTTTTCTAGGTATATGTGTGGCCCCTACTCTATAGTCCAAGCATGTAGCTACGGGAAGTCCTACTCCTTTTGTCATTGGGGCATATCAACTTTTCGTGCTCAAGTTCTTCAAAACTTGAGGATGAGTTTTTTTGAACCGAGGGAGAATGTTGCAGGAGCTGAAGATTCAAAATTGGAATTCTGAGAGATTTTATGTATTTCTGTATTTTTGGACACTGGGGATAATTTTGTTATTTTACAAATTTTCTGTAGGGTCCAATAATAGGGTTTGATTATCTATTTATAGTTTGTTTATGTTTAAAATTTTGGAGTCATTACATAAGTAGGATTAGAGTTATTGAGTCTTCTTTGAATTGAAATAGGGTATGACAACTTAGTTTGAGTCCTACTAGGATTATTGAGTCTAATAGTTTGACTCCTAGGACTATTATGAGTCTAACAGTTTGACTCCTAGGATTATTATGAGTTTAGAGTTTGTAGATATGTATGGGCGTTTTACACAAAGAGCAATGAAGTTTATTAAGTTTTCTTCAGCTTATGCTAATTATGGTTTTTCCCATACCCTAGAGTGATTCTAGGCATTCTGTAAGTGATTCTGGGTATTTCCTCTCTTCTTTTCTCCCTGCACACACACACATATATCTTCTTGTAATACAATGAGCCCCACCAAGCAAAGTACATATCCCTATCTACATCTCTCTCTCTCTCTCACTCTCCCATTAAATCTTTTATTAGTAACTAGGAATGACCCCCGTACTAAGTACGGGACCATTAATCTGAATTATTTCAATTTTTAAATTATTTATATTAGACATTTAGGTTAGGCTTTTTATTTGATTTAAGAGGCTTACGATGTTTTATCTAGAGAATGACCCCATATTAAGGGGCAACTACAGTATCATTTAATTTGAAATTTACTATTTAACTATAAAAAATTAAATTAGAAAAATTAACATGGGTCTTACATCTTTGTAATTGACAATCTAGTCTGACCTACTTTGTTTGAAGTTCACTATTAATTTATGTTGTTTTTTGTTAAAAGTGTGAGGGCATTTCTGTCTTTTTGTGTTATTTTGTATTTGGGCGCCTATTCAAGGGCACCTTTGTAATTTTGCTTATGAATAAGAAATGAAAAGCCTCTTGGTGTGAATAGTGCCACACCAAGCTCTTCTTGACACTTCCTTCTTCTTATCTTCCTCCTTCTTTTCTTCTCTCGTCAACATCTCTGAACTTTGCAACTTGGTATCAGAGTTGCTCACCATCAAGAAAACTCTCTGCTGCTGGTTGTGACTCGCAGACAGATTTGCTGATGTCAGCACACTGCCGGTTGACATCAGCAGTCCGTACAGTTGGTGGCATCTTCATGGGTCTTTGATGGTTGCTGATTGGCCCTGATTTTAGGGGAATTTTGGTATAAGTTTCATGGTGGTTTGAAGTTGTTTTGGATTTTTCAGATGAAAATTGGCGAAAAATCCAGATCTGGAATTTAGGGCTTGCATGCTTGTATGGTGGATTGGTTGTTTTTGAAACCTCTTGTGTTTGAGTCGTGGTAAACCCCTGGGACTATAGGAAGCAGTCCTGAATTTTTTAGAGCCCTAAAACTTATTTTGGGAATTTTTTTCTTCCCATATTTTGCCACTAGTACCTATTTTTCCTAGTTTTTTTTGCTGTAACTCGTGTCTAACCTTGTGGAAAAGGTTTTGGGAGTTCAGCCGTTGTTGGAAGATTGTGGTGCTGGTCAGAAATTTTTTTTGGAGGGGCTGTGATCAATGGACTCACACAAAGACGTCCGCATACCTACCTATGTTCTTCCGGGAAGCAATGACAATGTTGGAGGACAGATTACTACTGTAAAACTTGATGGGACAAATTTTCTAAAATGGTCATAATCAGCCAAACTTACAATTGGTGGAAGTGGTAAGCTCGGATTTATTACTGGTAAGGAAGCTAAGTCGAACGAAGCCTGAAGATCCACACTATTCCAAGTGGGAGCAGGATATTCTATTGGTGATGCCATGGCTTGTATGCTCTATGCAATCACACATCGCCCGTAACTATATGTTCCTTCCAACAGCTAAAGATATTTGGGACAGACTAACTGCAACTTATTCTCAAGCGAAAAACACTGCTAGAATCTCTCAATTGCGAAGAGAAGCATGTAAAATGCGATAGGGGGAGAAATCAGTGGCCATGTATTTCTCCTCCTTACAATCAATTTGGAAGAAATTGATTATCTTGAGGCTTTGGAGTGGAAAGATCCCCTTGATACTGAATAATACAGGAAGTACATTGAAAAAAATCGAGTTTTCGATTTTCTTACCGGTTTGAATGCTGATTATGACTTCACTAGGCAACACATCCTTAGTGCTGATATTGTGTCACTCTCCACAGCATATTCTCTTGTACAGAATGAAGAGAGTAGGAGGAATGCTATGATGTAAGTGTCTGTAGGTGAGCACACTGCTCTTGTGGCCACAAAGCCTAAGCAGAGTTTTGGTTTGTGAATACCATAAGAAGCCGAAGCATACCAAGGATAGATGCTGGAAACTAAATCCCCACTTGAAACCTGAGAAGTTTAAAACTGGAAAGAAAGTGAATGCT